CCCCGGGGGCCGCCCCCCCACGCCGCTCTGTGCCGCCCCTGAATTCGACTGCCTTTGCCATCTCTGTCCAGAAGCAGACACCACTGCCTTCCTGGGCCTGGCATCTGACTACTCCCCATGTAGTCCTGAGGCTGCTAGCGTGGGGTCTGGAGTTTGGGGACTGCCACCCCTGTACTCAGGCCGAAGGTGCCGCTCCCTGCCCCTCAGTCCTAGTGACCCCAAGCCTCAAGTGGGGTCCCTTTGTCTTCTGGGGACGTTTGCTCCCTAGCGGCCTTCAAAGTCAGGCCGTTCACTTCTGTGACCCGTGTCTGTGTGGCGTTTTCTGTCCTGCTTCCTGGTGTGGCCCTGCGCAGAGCTGGCTGGAACCCTCCCTGGGGCCCCCATGGGTGCCTCCCCAGCTCCTATCCTGGGGTTCACTGTGTGAGTGCTAGGCGGTGGCCCTGCAGTGGCGGTGAGTGCAGCTGACCCATGCCGAAGAGCTGCTTCCCAGTGGCTCTGACCCGGCCCTGCGACCGGCTGCTGGAGCCCAGAGCTGTGGGTCCCCTGCGTCCCGGCCGCAGGAGCGAGGCCTTGCACACGGCTGTCACCTTCACCAGGAGGTCCCAGGGCCACGCTACCCCTGAGCACCTAGTGAGGTTCCCTGAGGGAGGTGGGCTGTGGAATCCGCTTTGTCTGGGGGCCTCTGCTCTCGGACACTCAACTGGTGACTGCCACAGTCACAGGTGGGAGGAGCGGGCACTCAGGACTGGTCCAGGCCCCGAGCGCTTAGCTGTGGCTGTGTCTTTGCCTCTCTCTGGGCCTGCCGCCCAGCGCCTTTGTGGCTGTCACCCCCCGCAGAGCCCGGTGTGATGAACGGTGTGATGAACCTCGGCAGAGGCAGAGCACGGAGCAGGCGTGGTGAAAAGTAGAGAGCGCTAGGTCTGTCCCAGGGCCCGCCGGGAATGGAGCCCGGCCGTGTGGCTTCAGCTGCCGTCCACCCAGGTTGCCCTGGGTGCCGCATAGCTGGGGCAGAAGGCAGGCGGCAGCCGGGAGGACCTAGGTCCCTGGCCCCTGGATTCAGGGTGTCTGCGCCTGACCCAGACCCTGGGGGGCAGAGCGGGACTGAGCAGCGCTGCCTGCTGCCGCAGGGGGCCGGTGCCCCTGAGCCGGAGTCACAGAGGGACTGTCGGCGGGCAGTGCCCAGCACAATGCAGACAAGCACGGCCCGCCTGGGCGACAGGAATTTCTACTTGGGGGCTGCAGGCGAGAATCCAGCAGCGCGGCTCTGAGCACGGCAACCAGGCAACGAGCAGGGAGCGGCTGCAGCCCGGGAGACCAGCCTCCGCAGGAAAGGATGCAGTCGCTGACCTCGGGCCGTGCCATCCACTTGTCCGCCTTGGCCTGCACTTTGTCCCACAGAGCCCCGTGTCCCCTGGCTGTCCTCATACCCAGGTCACCTGTGCAACCCAGAATCCTTTGAAGCCCACCTGCCCACCCACAGAGGATGCTGGGACGCAGGGGCGGGCAGGATGGGGACCGAGGGGTGCCATCTGCCCCAGCTGCCAAGACAGGAGGGTCCCGGGCTCCCAGGCAGCAGGAGGAGGAGCGCGGGCAGGACCGGGTGGGCTGGGGGCGGCGCCGGGAGCTTCTGTTCTCTTGGCTTCTGTGTGGCTTCTGCAGCAGCACGAGCTGCTTTTGCCATAGCAGGAAAAACGCGATCCACGCGCCTCCTCCCTCGGTTCAGGGAGAAGCACAGTGTTCTCTCAGGAGCCTAGGAAAGGAGCCCTTGGCCCAAAGCACACGGAGGACCGGAAGGAAAAGCCGGCGCAGACCGGTGAGAGCAGGGGACCTCGCGGTTTCCTCTGAGAGCCCGCGTGCGGGTGGGACCAGGCGGAGCAGGTGTTCACTCAGAGCCCCAATCCACACAGCTTGAGGCTGGGCTTCCCGTGACTGGGCCCGGGGGCGGCTGGCTTCCCCCAGAGCAGGCGGGGCAGCCTACGCCCATCACCACCCAGCAGGTCACCCGCCGGCCCGGAGGACGGCGAGCATTCCGCGGGGCGTGGCGACCCCTAGCGGCCGCGTGTGAAACGCACCTCGGAGTGAAACCCCACCTGGGCCGGGCAGGCCCCCTAGGGTTGGCTATGGCTCCAGCTGTGGGTGTGGAGAAGAGGCGCCCACAAGGAAAGGAGCTGTGCAGACGCCCCCCGGCCCCAGCTCCATACCGGCTGGGGACGCAGAGTGCCTGGACAGCCCAGCGTCCAAAGCCGGGGTGACTGTGGAAGGCCTGACAGGACGAGTGGCCCGAGAGGCTGTGCCCCGTCCCTCCTCCAGGCGTTCCGCAGACCTTGGGTCCCTACTAGCGCAGGCCTTGAGGTGGAAGGCTCTGGAGCAGCAGGCCTGTGGCTTCTCTTTAAACCCTTGAGCCCTGAGGGGCTGATGCTCAAAAATCCACAGGGCAGAGTCAGGACTCTGGGGGCTCAGGGCCCAGGCTCTCATGCCGGGAGTAGTGTGTAGCCTGACACTCTCACACCATCCCCAGTGTGTGTGCTCTCAGGCCAGAGCTTCCTAACCAGCCTGGGGCTGTTGGCTGTCCCTGCTGGCTGCGCAGTGCTGGGCCCTGGGGCCTCCCAGCCTCCCATTGGCTGTGTCACGACCCTGAGAGGTCTGGACAGGGACGGCAGGGGGACGAGGCCCAGCACAGGCGGGTGGACCAACGCCAGGGCGGGAGCCCACTCTGCGTCTCTGTCTGTTGCGGGACTCACCCGCCCCTTTGCTGTGAGCCGCTGGGGCTGAGACCCCACTGGATGTAGAACACTGTCCTTACCTCCAGCTAATGTCCCATCCGTCTCCAGTGCCAACCACCCTGGCAACCCACTCTACCTTCTGCCAAGGCTTTGCCTCCACTGGTGTTTGGCACACGTGGGATTGTGCCCCCTGCAGCCTTGCATCCGGCCCCTCTCATTCAGCATAAGGTCCTCAAGGGCCTTCCTCTTAGTTTCACCGTTGTTTACTACTGAACAGTATTCCACTAGAGAGAGACCTCATTCTAAAACTTCATCACCACCAGTTGGTAGAGTCTGGAGCCTAGACTGGCCTGGAACGTCCTGTGTAACCCAGGCTGGTCTCAAACTCAAAATCCTCCTGCCTCAGCCTCCTGGGTGCAGGGATCACGGGTATGTGCCACCTTGCTCAGCCAGGCAGATGGCTTTAAGGCCGTGGCATTCTCTAGGCCAGGGGAGGTGACACAGTTGACCCGAGTGGTGGGTCTGGGAAGGGCCTGAATAGTGTCCTAGAGGGTGCAGCAAGGAGCTGCAGAGAAGGGACACAAAACCAAACCCAGCCATCCACCCCTCTGCACCATAGCAGTCACTGGGCAGCTGAATGGAGCCGCCTTGTCCAAGCCGCTCTGGGCAGTGCCGTGGGTCAGTGACAGCATCCCACCGAGGGGCACAGGGACGCCGTGAACATGGATGGCGGGGACAGAGGATTCTGTCACCCTTGGGGTTTGGGCAGTTCTTATCTTCTGCTTTGTGACTGTGCTTCCCCAGTATTTGACAAGAAGTGTTCTTTTCTAGGAAAAAGGATTTCATGGGCTCCTTTTTAAAAAGAAGAGAATTTCGTATGTTGCTGGTGGGTGTATCCCAAACAAAGAGTAATTTCACAATATTTATCAAAATCACAAATGCAGTTGCTTTTTGTTCTAGTAACCCTGGGCCTATATTTTATTCCTGCATTTTATAGGTGGAGCTGTATACAGATGAGGCCCAAGGCATTTCCTGTATCCTTGCTTATAACAGCAAACCTGGGAACAGGCTTAAGGGTGCATTTACGTAAACTGGATGGAACACTACACCGCTGTGAGCAAGGAGGAGGGCGCATGCTGCACAGATCGGGAAAGAGCACTGGGGCTGTTTGGATGTGTTCATAAAGTCGCTTTTATATAAGAAAAAGAGGTGCTGTCTCAGTTTGGGATACTGTTGGGCGATGTCTCTGACTGGGTTTCTAATAAGCAGAAGCTTGTTTCTTGCGGTTCTGGACTAGAGGTTGGAGACCAGGCCCTGGCAGCGCCCTCTTCCAGTTACAGACAGCTTCTGGCCGGCGGAGCAGGCACGCGTGCCATTCAGAAGCCCGCGTGGCATCACGGCACTCCCTTCTCCTGCCCTCACATCAGAGGTCCAGATTTCCACGCATAAGTGGGGGCGGTACTGGGCAACCCAGTGGGAGGGAGGTTTTGGGAGGCTTCAGCCTTTCCAGACACCCTGGCAGCCACCACCAAATCTTATAGACCAGTGTGTGGCTAACAGCTGGCCTGCAGTGGGTCCACGCAAGGACCCAGAGGGCAAAGCCAGGGTCACCTGGTCCTGGAACGTGGGGCAGACTCCACCAGGTCCCCACTGTGTGTGCTGGTTTGAGGTTTGCACAGTGGACTGTGTCGTCTGGGCTCCAAAGAATATATTTTAGTGAGTGGACTGGTGTTTCTGAAGACAGGTTCTTACTGTGTGGCCCAGGCTGGCCTCACCTGGTAGTGGTCCTCCAGCCTCAGCCTCCCAAGTACTGGGATCACAGGTGTGCACTACCTCAGCCAGCTGTAATCATCATTTTTTTAAAGCACCACATGCCAGAGTGGGTTCCAATTCTGGAGGCTGGGAAGTGGGGCTTGGAAAAGGACTGGGGGATTACCACCGCACCTCAGGGTGGCACTGCCCGTCTGTCCATACGTCCGTCCATCTCTATCCATCTGGTGAAGCTCTGAGCTTTCTCAGGGCCTCGGCTCAGGCACGCAGGGATGAGGTGCAGGACCCACTGAGCTCCACAGCTGCCGGTCCCACGGATGCTAAGCCTCTGACCTCACAGCCCCCGGGGCTGGGCCGGCGCCGCCTGCTCAAGGCCCACATTGCCTTAGCCAGACCAGCAGCCACCTCCCTGGCATTGGCAGAGCAGCACCGAGCAGAGGCAGCCGGACACACTCAGCCACACTGTGGCATCGAGTGGGGCGGCAGGGGTCGGATGGGGCAGCAGCTGGGGGTGGGCAGGAACCATGAGGCCCAGGTGCTGCGGTTTCTTGTCCTTCCTCTGTGTGTGCCTGTCTGTCACGGGGCTTCCCTGTGGCTGCCGGGAGCAGCCAGGAAGGAGTCTTCCTTATTCACATCCAACAAGAGCGACATTCCGCCTGGCTGGGCAGCATGCACCTGTCCTCCCAGCATTCTGGGAGGCTCAGGCAGGAGGGTGACAAGGTGGAGGCCAGTCTGGGAAAACAGGTGACTTAGATGCTGTCTCAAAACAAAAACTAAGAAAGGGATCGGGGTGTAGCTCAGTGACAGGCACCTGACCAATCCCCAGGAAAGGAGGGAGGGAGGGAGAGTGCAGAGATGACAGAGACAGAGCTTTCCGGGCCGAGGCAGGTTCTCCCCGGCCCGGAACAGGTCTCCCCTCCGGCCCATTAGCTCAAACTGGCTTAGACCTGCCCATCCCATGATCCAAGATTGCCACCTGGGAGCTGCTGCTCCGTCCACTCAAGGGCTGGGGTGAGGGTGCAGCCCCCAGTGCCCTTGAGCTCAGGCCTCCCAGTGCGGCCATCTCCAGGAGCCCTGTGTTGGGGGCTGGCCTGAGTGGAGGGGCCTTTCAAAAACGCCACACCCTGGGCTGTTGCGGGCCCCGCTGTCCAGAGCGTGCCACAATCAGTAATTCTAAAAAAGCCTGTAATTTCCTTGTGAATAGCACAATTATATTGCTTGGCAATTTGTGTGTGTGCTAAAAGCATTAATTTGTTCAGTGTCAACATCTGAAATACCCTGCCATCGTGGGAAGCCATGCCGGCCACTCTCGGTTTTTCACTGCCCGGAGTGTCCAGAGGACCCCCTCCTGGGCCCGGCTATGCAGCGCTGGTCCCGCTCTCTGCCCCGGGAGCCTGCAGTGCGGCCGCACCCTGGCCCAAGGGTGGGCCCTGCAGCTGACAGAGCTCACTACTGTCACTCGTGTGACCACGAGCGGGTGAGCAGGGTTGAGGGTGACGCACTCCGCACACATTTCGCCACAGCCCTGGAACACAGACCCTTGCCTTCGTCACGCTGGGACACGAGGTCCAACACATGTACGTCCAAGAAGAGGGTCTTGGCACTGGGTTTGTGGAGGCCTCCGTCCCTGCTCCAGGCAGAGCGAGGGGCTGGCACAGGAGCTGCTTGGGGAGTGGCGAACAGGAAGCAGGAAGGGAAGGAGGAGCTGGGGAGGGAGGGAGAGGGCGGCTCTGGCTGGGAAACCCGCGCTCCTCCCCCTGGCTCTGCGGTGGCAGAGGGGCCCCTGTGCACACGCAGGCAGCTGTCCAGAGAAGCCAGGCCTCCTGGGCTGAGCCAGACCCAGGCACTGGGCCCCACACCCAGGCCCCTGTGTGAGTTGGGGGCAGCACTTGGCTGCCGAGAGGTGAGGAGGACCTGACCCAGTGCCAGCTTTACGCCACCTGTTTTGTGCGCTTGTTTGCTTTTGTTTGGTTGGAGTTTTTGCAGCACCGGGGATTAAACCCGGGACTTTCACCCTGAGATGCATTCTTGACTCTCTTGTCTGTTTTTCGTGCCAGGGTCTTCCTAAGTCTCCCTGAGTCTCTGAGTCTCTAGGTTGCCCAGGCTAGGCTGGCCCTTGTGATCTTCCTGCCTCAGCCTCCAGAGTGCTGGTATGACAGGTGTGCCCACCAGGCAGGAGGGGTCGAGGTTTAGCGAGCAGTGCAGGCCAAGGCCCATTGCCTTCCGGGCTCCGTGTCAGAGCTGCTTGCAGGAGGAGTGAAGAGCACACCAAGCTCCGAAGTCGGCCGGACCCTCGTCCAGCCAGTGCCGCCTTCATCCTCCCCGGCTGCAGGGAGGCCCCGGCCCGGGCACCGGGGGAGCCTGTGGAGC